TTCATCATGTATGGTCTAAGAAACGTTAGCACCATCTGAAGCCGGGGGGACTTAATTGTTCCCAATGAATATTCATCCTTTATCTTGCATCTACCCCCTTCTTTTTTTTAAATGTCTCCTAAGTCCGCTTTGGTAGAACAATGAGTATGGTACTCGGCTACTGACCTGAATGTCGCAGGTGCGATCCCAGTCGCATTTTGATGGAGGCGAAAAATGGTAAAGGCCCACGTGTGCTTAGTGATGTCAGTGCATGCAGAAGAACACCAGGTGGTCGACATTTCGGGAGCCCTCCACTAAGGTGCCTTTCATAACCGTATCCTGGTTTCGGGACCTAAAAACCCCTGTTACAATGATAATAGGAAAGAGAGTGAGCGACTTCTTCCTCGCCTGCACTGCCCTTTTTCATCTCCTTGTCATTTATCAGTTCATAAAACAAGCGCACAATGTCGACACTCAGCATTAAGCCTATCAGGATTGTGCGCTTTTGTGCGTACGAGCACCCACACTGCTTATCACCCTATCAAGGGTTGATGCCGCAAAAGAACTTCACCGAATTGCGCATAATACCGCACTTATGCGTCGGAATCTTCCAACAAAGTCTACTGGACGTCCACAGAACCTCTCTTCATTGCTTCAATTACAGCTACCATCAAAGACTTAACGACGGGATGCTACAATGCTGTATCGGTTGTGGATCGGCGTTGCCTTCAACAATTCATTAGGTCATTGCATTGCTATGGCTGACTCCCCCAACTGCGATAACTGCCATTGTGTAGAAACTCTCGACCATGTCCTGCGCTATTGTCCAGACTTTGAAGAAGATCGCCGGACTCTCTAGAGTGCCTTAAGGAGGCTGGATGACCGACCCTTGACTCTGGGGAAGATCTTGGGAGCGTTGTTTTCACGTACTTCAGTCCAGAAAGCTACACAAGCCCTTCTACTTGAGGGCAACGTCACTGTGCGACCATCTGTGAAACCTAAATAGTGTGCGCGGTGTGCGTGTTATGTGCAATGTGTCTCTCCTCCTCTCCTACCTCGTTCCCATCTCCGCCGTGTATGGTAGCAAACTGCACTTAGTATAGTTAGCATCCCTACCTTTCTGATATTTTTTCTTCTCTGTGTCCCTTTTGGTTATGCATCGTTGTATCCAGTTGCGCAGTCAAAAGCACTTGAAACAAAATGAAATCACTTGATCGCGCACGATGGTCAGGCAAAGGCAGATAAGGGAGTGCGACTGCACGTCAGAGCAAGGTAAGAGATGATTAAAAAATTGACATACCTCGATTATGGACTAATCGAGAGTTGGTTTCCTGATGACATCATGTAAGCAGGCTGCTGGCGTCACAAATTGTGCAAGTACGAGAAACACTGCAATAGAATGTAGCACTCGTTTTTTTTTTTTTCAAATATTGCTTTGAAAAATCTATAGCGGCCCTTTAGCGAAACCACTGCTTACGGGTCATGCAAGGTATTGATGTCGTCTAACATAGCACTGTAAAGGAGTGAACTTGCAATCAATACTGCGAGGGATAGAGATAATACAGCTTTGTTCTGAGCACGCGCGTTGCGGCGAGGCGCGGTGCTCGGAAGATTACATTCTAATATTATACGTAGTTCTACGTCACGAAACTATGGTATGAATATAAGGGACGCCGTAGTGGAAGGCTCTGAAAACTTCGACCACATAATTGATTGATGTGGGGGGTTTAACGTCCCAAAACCACCATATATGATTATGAGAGACGCCGTAGTGGAGGGCTCCGGAAATTTCGACCACCTGGGGTTCTTTTAACGTGCACCCAAATCTGAGCACACGGGCCTACAACATTCCCGCCTCCATCGGAAATGCAGCCGCCGCAGCCGGGATTTGAACCCGCGACCTGTGGGTCAGCAGTTGAGTACCTTGGAGACCACCACGGTGGAGAAACTTCGACCGCGTAGTGTTCCTTAACGTGTACTCACATCACACAGGGCACCGAATTCTACAGCCTCTTGCCCTCCATTGAAATGTGACCACCGCAATCGGAATCGAACCCGCGACCTTCCGGTCAGTAGCCGAGTACCACAACCGTGCACTGTACTGCCGAGCCGGAAGAACACAATCAGTGGTTAAAGCGCGATCTAATCGAAGTCGGATCACGGTAATACCACAATCGGAGTACGAAGCACGCAGGATTACTTTTGGGAACCAGAGACTGCTAAATTTGCTCTTATTTTGTAGCACACACACACACGCTGTGGCATGTCACATGTGTGCGCGGCCACCATGTCTGGGATTCGAAGCTGCACCCTCGAGCTGAGCAGCGCTATACGCCACAAACGCTAAGCAAAGGCAGCCGAGTTTTCTAAAGTAATATTATTAATATAATAATATATTAGTAAGTGTTGGGGTATAACCTCTCGATATTGCGATATGATTTTTTTTATTTGCAACATTACCCGCTGCGCCATCTTAATGTGGATGGCACAGCGCTGCATATAATGAATCCGCAGTTTTGTAGCTATTAAATCAACTGGTAACATATTCCAATCGATAATGTCTTGTGAAAAAAAAAGATGCATAAACAGATCAGTTTTGGGGTTGTATGGCCGCACTTCAAAATTGTGGTCACGATGAGAGGATTGATACTGTGCTGGTTTTAAATATTCGGAAGGATTAATGCCCGTTTTCTTGTTATAGATTGAATAATGTAGTTTTTAATCTTAGATTACGTCTTCGATCTTGCAAGTATTGTCAATTAAGATCTCTCTTCATACATCGGGAACTTTCAGTTCGGTCATATTTTTCCCAGAACAAATCTCGCTACGATCGACTGAATGCGATCAAGTGCATGAATATGTACAGTGTGAAACGGATTTCACAAAGGACATTTAGGGGACGCCGTAGCGGCGAGGTCCGGAAACTCCGACGCCCTGGGATTCATCGACGTGCATCTAAATCTAAGTACACGAGCCTTTAGAATTTCGTTCCCGCTAAAATGTAACTAGGATTCGATGCCGCGCCCTTCGAATCAACAGCGACGGGATTTTCTAGGAGAGGTACACAAGAAGAAACAAAAACGTCAGCAAGATAGCTGCACGTTTGCTTAGCGGGACGAGATACGCCCCCGAATGGCGCAATCTTAGTAAAGAAACTATACGCGGTTCGAAGCACTGCAAGTCTTCCAGCGTAGCAGCGCGCGCGTTAACGCTGACTCAACAACTTATAGATGATGTAACAAAACTGTAGTGCGGCAGAAGTGGATAGCGACAGACTTTCGAACTGCCGAGGTCCCACCGGGAACAGCCACACACTGGAAGCCACGACAAAGCCCGAATAGAGGGTGCAGGCGATGCGGCTTTCCAAAGTGTGAGTAGAGATCTCTTGCGAAGATTTTACGTAAGGGAGACTTGGGCTGTTAATTATTTCTTTTTTGATTATGTGGGCGTGATTTGATAAGGCCAGGAATCGTCACATGCACCGACCCGACCAGTTTCATTTGTCTAGCGCAGCGCCATTCGTTCAATCGTTAAAGGTACAAAACATGAAGCTGACTGCATAACAAGTTGATGAGAGCCCAAACAGCCCAACAGCACCGAAAATAATCCGTAAGATATATCCGGCGTATGTGCCTGGTGAGAACCGCGAGGCCTAAGAGATGGATATATCTTTTAACTGACCGCGTGCTCAGATTTGGGTGCACGTTAATGAACCCCAGGTGGTCGAAATTTCCGGAGCCCTCCGCTACGGCGTCTCTCATAATCGTATGGTCGTTTTGGGACGTTAAACCCCACATATCAGTCAATTATCTTTTCACTGAATAAGGGCACGCACACAGACACGGACACTAGAACAGAAAATTGCGCAGATCAAGAGCGCTTACTCGCAACTTAAGTTTATTGGAAAGAAATGTAGGTGCATATGTATCACTCCTGTCACATGACCTGGCAGGTACCAACCTTTCTTTCGAATAAACTTTAGTAGCGAGTAGGCGCTCTTGGTCTGTGCAATTTCCCGTTCTAGTGACTGTGTCTGTGCGCGCGCCCTTATTCAGTTAAAAGATGAACCAATACCAACTAGCTCAGTTATCTGTGCTACTGCGATGGGTGCATGAATGGAAAAACTTAAGGACATGCATTAGCGCACAGCAGACCGCTTTCTGATGACAGCGAAAACCGCAGAGCATCTACGCATCAACAGGAGAAAATATTCGGCGATTTGATGTGCTACATCCAGGATTTGATCATGAGGACCACGGTATATTGGTCGACTCTAAGGTCCAGTTGATCACTTGAGGTTGCATACCATGAACCAAAATCTCGCTTGCAATAACGTCGGGCTACCCCTGGACACAGTACCGCCTAACGTGCGCAAGGAGTATGTGTAAGCGCAGAGCGTCTGCTACGTTGTTTGCTAAGAGATGCATTCGCACTATCAGCCTTATCTGTGCGGCCATGTGTTCGAATAGCCCGTTTGACGATGATCGTCGCATCGCTGCTCTCGTTGCTTCTCGCCGATATTTGGCCGAAATTAGACACTTCCGTTTCTCGGGGTTGGTGCTCGCGCGACATTACTAGAGATACTTCGAGTGTGCTTATGCATGCGTATTATTCACGCGTAGCTATCGTACCGCCCCAACAATGCGTCGGGAGCGGGAATCGCTCGCGTCGAAGACGCGGTGATCGTCACACCTTCGATTACATCGACAGACCGCGCCGCACGCGGCATTACTGCAGAAAGGAACGGTGGCGGCATCAGCTCGCGAGCACGCACAAGTGGCGAAGTGCTCACTTGGCGGCTCAAACTGCTACCGTGCGCGTGGAGCAACTCCCCTCGCACAGCCTACTGGAAAAAAGAACAAGGCTCTCTTCCCTCCCTCAAGCACTTTCACCCTCCGCCGTCACCTCCTCAGCGTCGGGGCAGCGCACCTTTTCTTCTGGGCTCGCACAGCTGGGTTGGCAGCGACTCAGAACAGCCTCCGCACACGCCGGGAGCAGTCGGCGAGCGCAGCGACGGCCGCCGACGGCGAGGGAGAGAGAACCAGCTAAAAATAATGACCGCGTGGTAGGACCGGGTCCGGATCCCCGGTCTCGCACCCTTCTCGCGCCACCCGAGGACCAGAGAGGCCCGAACCGACGACGGAGACGGCATCATCAGCAGCGGCCGCAGCGCCCCACGGGCGCCGGTACCCATGCGACCACCGATGACGCTGGACCCCGAGGGACCGCTGTCCTGGACCTTCCGGAACGTGTCGTCACCGGAGGTCCCCGGCTGTGGCACGTGAAGCTTGGAATGCGTCCGTGTTATCATCTGTCGCGTCGCCGTGTTGTGTGCGATGCAGTGAACGAGACTTGGAAGACGGTGTCGACACCGCTGCTGCCAGAACGGCCCAAGACGTCCCAGTTGGATTACTCACCCTACGCACCGATCCTGTAACGCATTCGCGTTGTCATACTTGGCAGCTTGTGCTTATTCGATATACATTCTGCACACCATTCCTTCGGATCATCTTCCGTACTCGTTCGATGAGGGCCTTCTGCGAACGTCATTGTGATAAAGTGTGAACTGTGTTCTTCAGATCTTTCGTCTGCGTGCCATACGCTGATTGTCCTTGGTCATCCAACAGACTCATGCTTTTTGCTGTGCTTGCAGCAATCGCGTTTGGATTCACCGATAAGACAGCTAGCTATACGACGTGCAATGATATTGAGGAACTAGTGAAATAATCTATTTTCAGTTGTTTTACTATACGCAGTGTTTGCGCCGACGTCAATCGTCATCGGGAGTTAAGTTTCGTTTTTAGCGCGGGCCACAATACCCAGCTAATCGGAAGGGAGTGATGCAGTGTTGATGCAGGAACCCGGGATTGATTTCTCAAGAAGCTGCTGCTTCTTCTGACGTATTTCGTGCCGTGACGTCGAACGATTGTTGTCAGGCTAAACCGAAGTACGGGAGAAACAGCCCCCCGAATATACTTGTGCGATACAAGTAAGCGAAACAAAAGGAATGCGTTAATATATCAAGCATCAATAAAAAAATCGGAGACGGCCTTTTTAAAGCGCGACGAGCGTCAACGCAAGCATCGTTGACAGTGGTTCGACCTCAGCTCCCAGCGATACAGAACCCGAAGAAGTTGATCTTCAACACCGCTCGGCGTGGTGACCAGGCTACAGAAAAGTATTTCTTGCTTTCGCTGTTCCGCAGACGTTATAGGTGCTGCTCCTGAGATTTCGAATCGTCTTGTGACGAGTCATCCAAAGCCAAGAGGTTCTCCTGCGTCCAAATCGAAAAAAAGCTCCATGTTACTCCTTGAGGTCCTGCAGTTGCAATAGATCACCTAGAAGCAGCGACCATCTGACGTCTTCAAATCAAGCGAGCCTCGCGTTCCGTTTCGTGCCATGTGGCCTTCAAAACAGTATGCCATGTGATCCCTTCGCAGAGAGTGACTACATCGACGACCCTTCGGCGGGAGTAGAGGGGGTCGCACCGCAGCGGTCTTCCGCTGGCATCAGTCGACCACTGGTATCACTCGTAGTACAATGTGCTCTGGGTACGGACCGGTGACCAGCCTGGCTCCGACTTTGATCACGCCTCGACGCTCCCTCAACAAGCTCCGGTGCGCGGCCTGCATAGAGAGCAGCTGTTTCTCGCAGCAAATGTGAGCCGCAGCTGCGGCGGCGTATACAGCTTATTGCCGATTGAGATAGGGCTTGGAGACCGCGTTTCGCGGCCCCGACTGAGCGACCACAGCTGTGCACAGCAAAGTTCCCTGCGAAGGGATTTTTTAGAACGCCGAAAGAAACATAATTGTACGTACCAATAGGAAGTCTGGCTCTTGGACGGAACGACGCTAGGGTTCACGGACATTTGTCTTCAACGTGAGAAGCGGCGCGTGACGTCAGAGAGGGGTGTGTGTGTGTGTGTGCGTGTTTGTGCGCGTGTGCTTGGTTCGCGCTCGCTCCCGAAGGCGTGTGGTTTCGCGGAGGCGAGCCTTTTTTCTCTGTGCTCACGGTTCAGTGACGTGTCTGCTGACGGCAACGGCGAATCTTGGTGACGCGAAGAGTGAAATATTCGCCGGACGAGAGGACAAGAAGAATACGGCGAGGAAAAGAAGGGGAGCGACAGACAAGACAGACTCGAGAAGCGGCCGAGTAGGACCCAGGCAGCCAGTTGCGTGGGAAATTTGTGTACGGAAGCCAAGTTGTCTGCGGCGTCAATCAAGCTTCGCCTTGTGTATGTTGACCGAATCCCCGAAGACCGGGAATGGATTACGCTATGAGGCCGTAGTTTCAACTGCGGCGCCTGCGACCTAGCCCGATCCAGGTGCGCTTCGCCGACGCGTACATACCTGCGCACACTACCTGGCAGTTTCGTTGGATTCGTCCACCTACCGGGAGAAATCATGATTCCTAGAACGGTAAGCGATCTATTTTTTCCCCCTGGACTTCAAAGATTTTTATTAACCGTGGCGGTGGATTTGTAATTATGATGCTTGATTAGAGCCCCGATTGATTGATTTGTGGCGTTTAACGTCCCAAAACCACCATATGATTATGAGAGACGCCGTAGTGGAGGGCTCCGGAAATTGTGATCACCTGGGGTTCTTCAACGTGCACCCAAATTTGAACACACGGGCCTACAACATTTCCGCCTCCATCGGAAATGCAGCCGCCGCAGCCGGGATTTGATCCCGCGACCTGCGGGTCAGCAGCCGAATCTTAGCCACTAGACCACCGCGGTGGAGCAACTGCAGTCCCGATGGTCACGGGTTGGGATTCTTGAGAAGGCAGCCGCATTTCAGTAACGGCGGAATCTATAGAGGCCGTTGCTCTGAAATATACGTGCACGTTACATAACTCCGGGTGTTCGACAATGCCGGATCCCTGTGCTACGGTATCTCTTAATAATACGGAGGCTTGGTACGCAAGGTCCCCGAATTTACTGTCATATTCAATGATTTCATTTCCCGCACCAGTCGTGGGTGTTGCACAGAAAATAACAATACCCAAAACAAAACTGCTAGCTGATATAGTATTCCAAGAACAGACCGGCTGACACTGTAATCGTAGACGTTTAGGTGGCTGATGTGTGGATGATTGGCCAAGACTGGCGCGCGCTACGGAGAGCGCGAAAGGCTTCCTACATACCGTCCTGTTTGCCTATCGTAAATCAAATCATTGCAGCTGTGGCGCGGGAAGCGCCGCGTGGATTTCGGGACGAAAAAGAGGGCCGCCCGCGCATTGCCCGCGTCAGCGGGTTCGAGCCACAGGTATAAATATAAACGAAACATTGAATATAAAAAAATCGTTGAATGCGTTTTATTTGTTTCTTTCTTACGCAGCCAGGCGTGCCTTCCGCGTTTGTAACAGTGGTTCAATTATATTCCGCAACCATCGATTGTGGCAAATCAGTGAAGCTTAAAGACACTGGCTTTTAAATTACATTTATCGTGACTTTGGGCATTTTGGTCAATGGTCAACCATGGTCAACCATTGGTCAACTATTTGTCAACCATTCTTATCAGGATGCATTTTTTTTTGCTTGATCTGCAGGATTTTTCGAAAAGGTGTACTAAAAGAGTCTCACTGCATGATTTCCGTGATACAAAGCTATTTGTTGTCTAGATTTTCACTTTGCGTTACAAACGTTCTTCGGATCTATAAGAGCTAAACCATTCTTATCGGAAACTTCAAACTCACAGTGCTTTAGTTGACACAAGCGCTAAGCGAACAATATTGAGTGCAGCAGGGAAACAAGGGGTGTACTTGTTCGCCCAGTGTGTTTATACATTGGCATGCGTGCCATTACACGCAAGTTCGCCTTCAGAGCGGGGCGATGGTTGATCGCAGCGCCCCCCTCCTTCCTATATTAAGTCAATGTATGGGACATACGTCGCACCCCCTTCCCCCTCTAGGATGACAATGGTAGAAGTCACCCCCACCCCCTTATTTCCGAATATTCATACCTTAAGGTCACACGCAGTGATCAATATGCGTTCCTGTGGGAACAAAAAAAAAACCTCGAATTGCGATAAAATGTGTGAGCAGACGCACATACGAAGGAAACACTGCTGGCTACCATACCAAAGCTTGCAATATTATTAATAACTAACAGACAATGATGTCGAGGAAAGTATAGGAGATGTTATTAGAAGTAATTGTAAATAATGTAAATGCGAATAAAGAGTAGTGGACGAAAAGACAACTAGCCACCGGTAGGGGCCAAACCTGTGACCTTCGGTACTTTGCTTGGCATCATTTTTTATCAGTTGTCATTAATGTTCTGTCTGATAAAAAACAACAACAAAAGAACGAGTCCATAAGTATACACTTCTTTCCTCCAAAGCTTGCTGTTGCCATTCGGAGGAACTTGGGTTGTTATCGTGCAAACAACGACGACGCGCTAATTTAAGATCGGCTCACTCCGTCTCTCCTTTCATCTTCGCCACGAACGGAAACTGAGGTCGATCAATTACACAGCCAATAAGATGCGTCCCCAACATCGTCTGTCATCGCGCCCTTCGATGCGACGCGCGCAGGCTTGTGGCGCGAGCAGAACGTAGTCGGCCGCGTGTGAATGACGTTTATGCAAATGAAGGCGTTCTCCTTAGCAGCGTCGTCCTGTCGCTATAGCTGCATTATACTGTTGAGAGCGCGCACGCATGGTATGCACTGCTCGGAACGTGCAGCTCGCGCTTCGCAACGTCAGTTAGGTGCAGCGATAGTGATGTGGTCTCTGTTTTATAGACAAAGGGAGTGCAATATAAGTGAAATACGAGAAACAATGCGGGGTTAAGAAAACGGGTACGAAAATATGCGTTGCAGAGGGGCGGAATGCAATGACGTAGTCATTGTTAACCTCGCCGTAGTCGTTGTCATTGCTTCTACCGCAACTGTGTACGTGAACATATAAGTGTGCAACTGAAATCTCATCCCCAGCTGTTATATTTGGATCGGTTATAAGATTGCGTAAACAACAAAACGACAGCGGTATAGCATTTCGAGCAGCTTTGTCACGACCCGCAGATAAACGAGAGGTCAGAGGTTCGACCCCCGCCCGCTCCGGGTGCACTACAACCTCGAGGAATTGTCAAAGCGCTTGTGCAAGCTGACTCGAATTCGACAGGGAACTCGCAACCGTACTGCGTCCATCACAACCAACGGTGCCGTTTAAAGATGCTTTACGCCGTAACCTTTGTGACATTTATAACGATATAATTACGTAGCAGTTATTGAAGGCTATTCGTTCATGATTACGAAGACAGAATAATATATGGCTGGCGCATGCTGTTCGTCTTGCGCATTGCAGCGTGCGTGCGTAGTTGTAAAAACGACTCTGTATAGTTTTTCCCGCGTCTTTGTTTTGAAGAGTGAGAGAACAGATTTTTCGTCGTGTTTAAATCGTTTCAATTAACCTTACAATCGCTACATTATAGTTAAAGAAAGAGAATTAACGTTCTCCATGCTTTATCTGGCCTAATTGTCATTTCGATTGGTTAAGTTTAACATATAAACAACCCCCACCTCCCCCCCCCCACCAAAAAAAAAAATCCCCTGCCTTCGCAATTACGGTAGGCAAAGTCGTTGAACTACTTCGTGCGAACTCTTCTACTGCAAGCAGTCTTGCTAGAATCCGCAGCGTTGCACTCAATGCATCACACAGACCGAGTATACATATCGCCTGTATTACGGCTCCCTCAATACGCCGTCGCCATGGTTACGGCAACGTGGGAGCACAGGTGCGCGCTGTTGGGGATCCGATGGCGTGCAGGGATACTGCGCTGCGTGTGACGTGCGATCACCGCGCTTTCATTGTATGTATACTGCGTGCGCAGATGGCTGCAGATAAAACGGAATGGAATTGTTGAAATAACGTCTCCGCCGGGCAATCGAAATGCCGCCAGAGCACGGTTCGTAATTACGCGAAATGTCGAACGCATGTGAATTGGGGTGTTGTCTGTCGACTAAATGCAGCGAAGCAAAGCCCCACATAATAGTCGCCTTGAAATACCTCTGTCGTTTGTTTCGCACTGACGTATATTGCTTGGTGAATACGACCTGTGTGTCCCTCATTCCGTAACTAAACGGATCAACTCTAACACAGAGTGTTAACTGTTCCACCAGACTTTTCTCACTGGTGCTAATAAAAAAAGTAAAAAAAAACTGGTAGGCTTGCATGGAACAAGCAGCCCATTAACACTGAAAGCTGCGGGCGATTGTGGTGTTAAAGATCGTTTATTAACAAAAGAGAGGTGTATGACTCCATCAGGGGTCCGTACAGACAAAATGAACCCCATTGGTTGAAACCGCCCCTTTGGCTCTGATACCAGGCCCGCTGTTCATGAAGGTCTGAGTGACCGAGCAGGGGCGCCTCCCAGCCCTGAGCGGCCACCATAGAGCCACCTATAAACCCTCTCGGCGCGACTACGGCGAGAACTGTGGCAAGACATCCACTATACCATAAATCATAATTTTGCCAAGAAGGATTGTACTCAGTATGCTATATCATTCAACGTTCTCCACTAGGTACCCGCTAAGCGTCTTTGGGGCATGATATACACTTTTTCGATGACGTGGCTGATGAAGATGGCGAATCATGGCCGATACCTTTGTAATGAGTAAGAAGCTTTTAACTAGACACTCGTTACACAATTCGCATTGTGTGACGCCTGGCTGTTCTTTTACTCTTCCACCACGCTCTATTACATCTTTCAACGGGATTTCTTGCCCGACGTGATGCATATGATCTTCTTTCTGCAGAGTTCAAAGCACGGGACTTGGTTCTGTGTTACGTTCGTTCATCCTGCGCACGTTTATTTTCAACTCTCTCCGAGTTCAAACCGGGTGAGATTCGAACCCAGACCCCGTGCGTGACAGTAGAGTATTATATATATTACTCTACTGCCACGCAAATGGTTTCACTTCAAATCTCTTACCGGTTCTGGATATAATTTTTTACTCCTTGCGAGCGGTTACAGACTCGACGTCGGCGGCGTTGGACAGCTACGCTGTCTGAGTAGATTCTTCATGCGATACGGCAACACATTTCACTGCAAATGTGAAAGGGCCCCTTGTAAATTTGCGTAAGACGATTCGAAGGTGATAACCATCTTCTTCCTCTTCTCATACTACTCACAGTCTACTACTCCCCCTTTTTTTTTGCCTAATAGTTGTCGTCGTCAAGTACTAGAAAAACACGCGAAATTACGCCATTACGCACATGGACAAGCACGCACGCACTTTGTCCCAGTACTTCAATACAAATTTTACCAGAAAAGAGGCGTTGTAAAGAAACGCAAATAATTGCACAATCGATATGTCAACCCATGGAATTGAGGTTCGCAAAGGTGCACCCTCGGCAGACACTGGGTACTTGTAAATAGTTTCCTAATTATTGCTGGTAAAGCTATGAACCATC